GAATTTTAAAGAAGCATCCATATGGGGAGTAAAGATCAAGATATAAAAACTAGTTGATATGTGTAGCTGGTATAATTACCGAAAGGAAGTATTTCAGGAATTAAGCCGGTAAACCATTCCGTAATAAAGCAGTGAAGAAAGCTGAGAGAAACATTTTTGTGAGATTTTTCGAACCCGAAATTTGAATCATTTTGAAAAAAAAAACGAGACAGACGTAAACGAAAAAGTTCGTTAATACATGACGCGAGTCTGACGGATGGAGTGCTTACACATCGTCAATGAATCAGCAGATGCTGAGAGAGTGTTCCCGATTGGCACGTACACGTAGACCGTTCCACTACGGCCACAGCTTGTCAATTCCGACGCGGGAATGTTGTCAAAAAATGATACAATAACAGCATTAACGAATGAAAATTACACTCTCACCCTCAAATTTAAAGAGAAATCAAAATCTGCCGAAATCGCTAACTAACCCCAACCTGACCCTAAACTGAACCCACCTAGCCCTCCCCCTTCTTGTACGCGATTTCAAAAGTTCCGCGTTCGTACTATTATTGGAAATAAACAAAATTAGCTTTATATAAAACTCGTAACCAGCGGCTGGCCGTAGGCAGAGTCGTTAAAGAAGTCGATCGATGCTCGGCCAGCCCTCGTTTTCCTCGTCAACAAAGCCTGGCGAACAGACGTGCTCTCAGCCTCAACGCACCTCTGACCAACGGTCGAATTGTCTCTTTCTCAGGTACTGCTCAGCATGGCCAACTTACCTGACCAATTCAGAAAAATAACAATTTTTGTCCCTCGTTTGGATTCATCGTGCTGTATTGAACAGGGGATTTTCGCTTGTCTGCAGGGAGTTTTTGGTGCGATTTGCATGCTCCTTAATTTGCAAGGACCACAGAATACAATAAATTCAATTCCATGAAATCTATTTTCCGAGCATTCAATGTAGGCCGTTTAGTTTGGTCTATGACAATGGATTATGCAAATGAATATTGTTGTTGTGTTGAAAAGATGTTAGCGTACAATCGATTAGCCCAATTCATAGGCTCAAATCTTGCAAATGCTGAGAAAGCCAATTGAAGATCTCGGGGGAAAGACTGTAAGGTAAGTAGTACATTTGTCACGAAATCGGAAGCAGCTTATCCAATCGTGCTTGTGACCTTAAAGGAATCTTCCGCGGAAAAAGCTCCGCCTCCATTACCACAGAAAAACGATACCCCTTAGGCCCCTAGCCTCATGAGCATAGCAAAAAGAACGGAACATAAGCGTTAGTCGATAATACTAATCCTACACACAAGACAAAATGATCACTCTTTCCGTGGAAGATTCCTTTAAGGTATCGTTTTCTGTGGTAATGAGGGCGGAGCTTTTTCCGTGGAAGATTCCTTTAAGGCAGTGATTACGATAAGTTCAAAAATTTAGAGGAGACGTGGTGGTGCTCAGTGGCACGTCAGTGGAGGAAAAAGCGGAGAAATCCGTCGAAAACCCTAAAATGAACCCCTTTTTTCCTTCGGTTACACTCATGAACAGTTGGCAGCTAAGAAAGCGGGCGTATAAATGAGTTCAGCGCTACGCATTTGGTAACATTATGCCAGAGCACCCACCAATCGAGTTGTTCTGCTGGCAACGCAGCTCGTCCAAATCACCTAAACTAGTGGGCGGATCGCTTTTGGGGGCGGAGTGCTTTCGAAGTCCTGCTCAGCAACCAGCGAACCTTTCCGTCGTGAAAGCGCTACACTTGCTTCCCTGGCAGCCAAGTAACTGATTCGTGTTCCCCCGATGCGCTCCCTTTTTATCGTAATCGCTGCCTTTAAGGCGGAGTTCCAGAGAAAGGAAGGAGCAATGGAATGCACTGGTGGCTAAGACGTGCTTCAGAATCACCTTGAAGATTTTTTATTCCAATGCAGACTTCTCTTGACCCTAATAGCACACTTACATTCATCTGCCTCCGATCAAGGTCCTACATTCGTTGAAAAAGATCAACAAGGGTGGGAAGCGGGGTGGGAGGTTTGGAATGGGATTAAATTGCAGTTTCGGAAGGGGTTGGAATAGGGTTTTCGTGGAATAGCTTAATTGGAATTCTCGGGAAATTTTCGCTGGAGCGAACGTGGTCATAATTATCCCGAAATCTTGCCTCGCATGGTGCTTGCAGCTCTGTGCAGCGTTGCTGGCCATATTTGCGCAAAAAACTGTAGTGGTTGCCCAAGCTGCTCATCATAATGCAAGGGTTAGTGACAAAAAGGATGAACCTCTTGCGTAGGACCTCCTCAATGACGCAATATGAAGGGTATGCCTACCCATTGGTCCGCTATAGCACAAAATTTATAGCCCCTTTTTCAAGTGATTGCGCGATTATGTTAATGACGTTGATGTCAACCACTGGTAGTCATTGCCAACACCCTCAAGCTAAGCGACTGAGCTCTTGTCTTTCCAGATAAACGCAAAGAAAAGGAAGGAATGAAGGAGGAAAATTCAGCATTTTTCCATGACGTGGAGGGTATGGCAAATCTCCAAACATAAGAAAAACTATTTGGACCGCACAGCTGACGCCAGGCTGTCCTCCTTCTTGGAGAGATCACCCGGCTAAGGCCTGAAATTGTGACTACAGAACGGTATCGGGATCTTTGGTCTGACCATGAGTTTGCTACATTCGAATTTTATTTTTGCCATTCTTTGAAAACTGGGGGGGGGGGCTCTTGTGTAGTGGGCGGAATTATGGGTGGGACTGGTTTCACGGCTTTTGGGTGTTCAAGCGGAAATCGTAGCGTTGAGTCTTCTTGTGAGGGGATTTGCTCGGTGGGTGTAGCACAACCTTTGGTGTTGGAAGGAACCATCCATAGACCGCCGACAGCAGCTGATGGAGATGACGAACTGAAGAAAGTGTAGCTGCTGCTGAATGAGAAAAGCACAAAAAGAGCTAGAATTCACTTCGGTTTTCGACCGTGTGCTTTAGGTCGATACTGATGTGTTTTGCGCTAGCTTTCTACTAAGCCCTTTACTTGGAATGTGGATCCTTAAATAATATGCAGTCTAATTCACTGAAATGTGCACAATCATAAAGATTAGGCTGAGATTCCGCGAGCCTTGCTTTCGTGCTTTATCGCCTTGCTGTTTCGAAGAAGAGTGTCGGGATACTCATGTTTCAGGGTTCCGGTAGGTTCTGATGACCTGGCGGTGACAAAGAGCACCAGCGCTATTCGGTGCGGCAATTGCTGTGGTAGGTCAGTGAGTGGTAAGGCCGAGTAACCCTCGTGGTGACCTCAACCTTACCAGTTTGTTCAGCATGTTCATGGCAATTTTGCAATTTTCCCTACACCTTCAAACATTTTCTTAGACACAGGCTCACCGTCCGTCGGTTCAGGTACCATGGAGGTAGTGTGGTTGACGAGAGGTGAAAAGGTAGAAAGGGAAGCGGTCGTATTTGTAAAACTCTAAGAGGTCGCGACTGTGGACGATGCGGGTCGAGAGAGTCGTTTTTAGCGGGTTCAGACGACCATGGAGGCAGCTCAATGAAAGAAGCGTGAAGTAGAACAAATTGAGGATTTGCCGTCTCTTCTCATATGTTCACCTTATAGCACCGAAGGAAGAGTGGGCGGAGTCGGGTTGTATCGACTAGTCGCAGAACCCTAAGAGGTGGGGTCGTCAAAATTTTGGAGAAATAATACCTACGCTGGGATTCGCCTTGCTTCGACCGAATGTTTTGGATGCTGCACTCTTGACCGTCAATAGAGTTCTGTTATTCGGCATCAGGCCAGGCCAGAATTGAAGATCCCTCGACAGGGTTAGTAATGGCTATGGTGAGGGAAGGGGTTGGTAGGATGCGTGTAGGTTGAACAATTCCAAAACACTGAGCCTAACATATTTTTGGAAATGATGCAAAAAAATGGAAAGCGAAATTGCACGTTTCTCTGTATTTTCTCCGCTCAGCTTTATCTTAAGCAGGCCGCAATTCTACGTTTTTACGAGTAACAACGGGGGTCGCTACCTGCGTGATTTATAGAGGGGGGCTCTATCCGCTTCTAGTTCGGTGAAGAGTACAGTCTGAGGTCTGTGGTGAAAGTGGCAGTTTACGATAATGGACTGTAGCTTGGAGAGCTATGGATAAAAAAATTCGCCGTTTCAGCGCGCGTTATAATACTTTCCGCTCGAACGGCATTTTGACGGAAAAATTGGGAGGGAGAATCGTTGTTGGGTCGGTACCGGAATTAAATACTAATGGTAGAGGAACTGCCTGGTGGTCGCAGGTCGAAAAGGTCGTACCAATCCACCTGGGAAGTGTGCCGGAAAAACTTCTTAAAAATCAACCGATTATGACTGACCCTGCCTTGGCGGATTTGAAGTCTATGGAGAAGGGCCTCGAATAGGAGAAAATTTCCCTCGACGCTTGATTCGGCCCAATCTTCCGGCCCAGGACTCCAGCGCGTTCGTTGGCAGGTAAATCAGTGAAAATGCGAAATTCGCAGGAACGACGAAAAACTAAAGGATTTCTCGCCCGTTAAAAATCGGATCTATGCAGATGGTGCACCCAAACCATTAGTGATTTCTCAGGAAGAGGACTATTCACCAGCAAAATTCAATGCCAGCAAACAAAAATATGGTTCAGACGACTGTATGCCAAACACGCTATACACATACGATATTTTGGCCACGCCCTCTCCCCATAGCCGGAGTTTTGCTAACACTTAACGAAACTCTTCAGAGCCTATGCTTCGTGAGATAGTGCTAGCATGAAACCGCAACAGTAAGTGTTCAACATATTTATTGAACAAATAAAAATACAGTTTTCAAAATGTACAGCACTGAAGCTGTCCATGAAGTTGTTAGGACCGAATAAGGTCCCGATATCATGCCCGTTTTAATGGCAACACATCGACAGCGGAAATTACAATCGTGTTACCTCTTCATCGCCTACACCAGAATCCATGGACCTTCTGAACACTACAGGTGGGTCGAGTTGATAACTCAACGCATCTGAATCGCTACTTGAACATTCACTGGGTTCAAGGCATTTCAGCGCTCACGACAGACACCTGAGAGTAACCCAGGCACTCCCGTTTTGGAGGATTTTCTGGCAGGTATTCCTCTCGGTGGTGGACTGGGAGCGGCTGATCGCTTCTGATCCACGACTTTCGTGGGCGCATCCGCTCTGCTTGATCTCGGTACGGTGGCCGAAGCCACAGCGGGGATTGGTCGTCTGACAACTCGGGTGTTGTCTCGTGAAAGGATCTCATCGTAATCGTCTTCTCCGTTTTCCGTTTAACCTCAAATGGCGCAGGGCTAAACTTGAAGAAGAACATTCTATTGAGATAAAGTGCCTTAAAATGGTGATAAGGGTTTTGACTGACTGACATCCTTTCCACGAGTAAGCAAAACTCGATTGTGCCTTACATCTTGTTGGCTTCCTGTTGAGCGCGGATTCAGCGCTGTTGTAGGGAAGTATATCCGGCTCGTGATTGTGCCTTGTTTGCAGACCTCACACGCTTCGCAACCCCTGCAATGAGTAAATTTTGTGCACAGCGTCAAAATGTAAATTCAGCGATTCATCTAGGAATGCTTATTGCTCATGAAAATGGAAATGGTCGCAAAAAATAGGTTTTTGAAGCAAAATTATGAAACATCCGGCGTTGCTCAATCCCTCCTTACGTCGCTCACGTTGCTCAATCCCTCCTTGGGGTGCGCCACGCATTCTACTTCCATTCAGAAATGGTCAAATGAATACGATGTGGCCCATAGGTCTGGTACCAATTAAAAAACTTCGAAAGAATGGAAGGTTTGGTCGACCGCGTGGCAAGGCGCCACTTGCTCCTTCTGCTTCTGTAGGGTGACGAGACATGAGAACATGAAAGTGAGAAAGTATGGGGTAAAGGCGAGACGCAGACAGCAACGGTGGTGTGAGAGTAAATGGTCGTGCACAGGTGCGAGCGCAATGCGCAAACCGGAAGAGTAGTGTCGTCGCAGCACTGCATTTGAGATGTGAAAATGGTGCAGCTCTTGCGATTGTAGGTCTCTTTCTTGGGGGTGACCTTGAAGGCAGATGGCACTATGAATTTTTAGCAAATTTGGAATGAAAGTAGAGCTCTAAGGAGGTGCATCAGTGAAACAAAATTTGAGAGAAACGGTCTGGAACCAGCAGAAGCTAGCAGATTGGAAGTTACAGCTCACCCTCTAGGGGAGTGGCGACAATTCCGTCACTGGCGCACAGCTCAACTTCACCTTCCACCCTAATTTCTCGGATCTACTGTGGAGCTTGAGGAGTGAAGAAAAAGTATACTTTATAAAACTGTTAGTCGGGTTAATTCCACATATTTTCAACCTTTCTCCGACTAACGATCCCTCCAAAACACAAAGATTCCACTCTCACAAATGATTCCTGTTTCGACTTTAGACATATTTGTTGTGACGGGGGTCTTCATCAGCCGGCCTGTCAACCTGGGCCTGACGCTGGTACTAGAACCATTTTTGCAATTTTTGCAAGGCATGGTTTAGAGCCTCGGCAGGGATCGAACTCGCGGTTTTTCAGAGGTGCAGACATGAGTCTAACCTCTTAACCACTCGGCTATCCCTGCCTCATTCCTCTCTCACAAATATCACACTCAAATACGACCCTATCGATTAGGGCGATTGACACTGCTTGCATCCACTCACATCCCAGGCTCACCACTGTGAACACCTCGTGCTGTCTGCGTCTCACTCGCCCCATCAGTTCTCTAACTTCCAGGTTTGCTATCTGTCCTTGCTGACCACTTTCTCGTAGACTGCCTGGCACGCACTCTCATCTACTCTCCGGCCTGCACTACGTTTCGGCTTCTTTTCCGTGAGTGAGATAGCTGGGTTAGCAACCGCAGAGCTCCGCATCTCGTGGTAAAGGGGCTAGAGAGCTAGAAGGTGTTTCACTGCATGCCCACGGTTGCATATCCATGTCTCGCTGACCCATGAAACCCTAACACAACCTACCTATACTCGCATAAAGTTTTTGTTATTTGAGGTAGAGATTTCGAATTGACTCGTTGAAGCGTAGTACGGGTTTCC